ATTTTTGGTGTTTGATCCCATTTTTGGTGAGTTCTGATCCCATTTTTGGCGGTTCTGATCCCATTTTTGGCGTTCCCACCTCATTTTTGGTTTCTGATCCCATTTTGGTGCGTTCTGCTCCCATTTTTGGTGTGTTCTGCTCCCATTTTTGGTGTTTCTGATCCCATTTTTTTGCATTCTGATCCCATTTTTTGTGCGTTCTGATCCCATTTTTGGTGTTTCTGATCCCATTTTGGTGCGTTCCAATCCCATGTTGTTGTTTCTGATCCCATTTTCTGTGTTTCTGATCCCATTTTCTGTGTTTCTGATCCCATGTTGGTGTTTCTGATCCCATTTTAGTGCGTTCTGATCCCATTTTTGGTGCATTCTGACCTCATTTTTGGTGTTTCTGATCCCGTTTTTGGTGCATTCTGACCCCATTTTTGGTGTTTCTGACCCCATTTTTGGTGCGTTCTGATCCTATGTTGGTGCTTCTCATCCCATGTTGGGGGCTTCCTGATCCCATTTTTGGTGCATTCTGATCCCATTTTGGGGCTTTCTGATCCCATGTTGGTGTTTCTGATCCCATGTTGGTGCGTTCTGGTCCTATTTTTCTGCTTTCTGATCCCATTTTTGGTGCGTCCTGATCCCACGTTGGTGTTTCTGATCCCATTTTTGGTGTTTCCGACCCCATTTTTGGTGTTTCTGATCCCATTTTTGGTGTTTCTGATCCCACTTTGGTGTTTCTGATCCCATTTTGGTGCGTTCCGATCACTTTTTTGGTGTTTCTGATCCCATTTTGGAGCATTCTGATCCCATGTTGGTGTTTCTGATCCCATTTTTGTTGCGTTCTGATCCCATTTTTGCTGTTTCTGATCCCACGTTGGTGTTTCTGGTTCCATTTTGGAGCATTCTGATCCCATGTTGATGTTTCTGATCCCATTTTTGGTGTGTTCTGATCCCATTTTTGGTGTGTTCTGATCCCATTTTTGGTGTGTTCTGATCCCATTTTTGGTGTTTCTGATCCCATTTTGGTGCGTTCCAATCCCATGTTGTTGTTTCTGATCCCATTTTCTGTGTTTCTGATCCCATGTTGTTGTTTCTGATCCCATTTTTGGTGCGTTCTGATCCCATTTTTTGTGCATTCTGATCCCATTTTTGAGAGTTCTGATCCCATGTTGGTGTTTCAGATCCCATGTTGGAGTTTCTGATCCCATGTTGGTGCTTTCTGACCCCATTTTTGGTGTTTCTGACCCCATTTTTGGTGTTTCTGATCCCATTTTTGGTGTTTGATCCCATTTTTGGTGTTTGATCCCATTTTTGGTGCGTTCTGATCCCATTTTTGGCGTTCCCACCCCATTTTTGGTTTCTGATCCCATTTTGGTGCGTTCTGATCCTATTTTTGGTGTTTCTGATCCCATTTTGGTGCGTTCTGATCCCATTTTGGTGCGTTCTGATCCTATTTTTGTGCGTTCTGACCCCATTTTTGGTGTTTCTGCTCCCATTTTTGGTGTTTCCGCCCCCATTACGGATATCCTGCTCCCCATTCCCGTCCCCCCCTTTCCAGCTGCCCCCCCCTGGCCGTGGCTCTGGCTCTCAGCCGCCTCTCAGCCGAACGCCCCCAGGACTCCTCAGCCCTTCGCTTCGACGTCGTCTCCCTCAGTGACTCCATGGGCTGGGAGCTTCCCTTGGTCAAAAGAGCCCTGAGACAACTGCAGTGGGAGCAGCACCCCAGGACAGCTGGTGGGTGACACCGGTGGGTGACACAAATGGTGACACCGCTGGGTGACACCGTTGGGTGACAGCATTGGGTGACCCAAATGGGTGACAGCGTTGGGTGACCCAAACGGGTGATGCTGTTGGGTGACAGCATTGGGTGACCCAAATGGGTGACAGCATTGGGTGACCCAAATGGCTGACACTGTTGGGTGACACTGTTGGGTGACAGCATTGGGTGACCCAAATGGGTGGCAGCGTTGGGTGACCCAAACGGGTGATACTGTTGGGTGACAGCATTGGGTGGCAGCGTTGGGTGACAGCATTGGGTGACACAAATGGGTGGCAGAGTTGGGTGACCCAAACGGGTGACACAGTTGGGTGACAGCATTGGGTGGCCCAAATGGCTGACACCGTTGGGTGACACCGTTGGGTGACCCAAATGGGTGACCCAAATGGGTGGCAGCGTTGGGTGACCCAGATGGGTGACATTGTTGGGTGACAGCATTGGGTGGCAGCGTTGGGTGACAGCATTGGGTGACACAAATGGGTGGCAGAGTTGGGTGACCCAAACGGGTGACACCGTTGGGTGACAGCACTGGGGGAGGCTGTTGGGTGACCCAAATGGCTGACACCTTTGGGTGACAGCACTGGGGGACACCATTGGGTGACCCAAACGGGTGACGCCATTGGGTGACAGCACTGGGGGAGGCCGTTGGGTGACCCAAACGGGTGACACCGTCGGGTGACGCCGCTGTCCCCGCAGCCCCCTCCTCCCGCAGCGGCGTCACGGTGGAGCTGTCGGAGCTCTCCTTCCACCTGCGCTCCTTTGGGGACCTGAGCCACGCCGAGCTGGACGCCGTCTGCCACTTCCTGCAGCGCCGCCTGGAGGAGCGCCAGCAGGGGGCGCTGCGTCAGCTCACAGCCTGCAGGAGAGCCTTCCGCAGGTCAGCTATGGGGCGCCTGAGGGTTCACTGCGGTCCTGGTTGGGGTTCCCAATGTCCCTCATTTGGGATTCCCAATGTCCATCATTTTGGGGTCCCAATGTCCCTCATTTGGGATTCCCAATGTCCCTCGTTTTGGGGTCCCTGTGTCCCTCGTTTTGGGATTCCCAAAGTCCTTCGTTTTGGGGTCCCAATGTCCCTCATTTGGGATTCCCAATGTCCCTCGTTTTGGGTTCCCAATGTCCCTCATTTTGGGATTCCCAAAGTCCCTCATTTCAGATTCCCAATGTCCCTCGTTTTGGGGTCCCAATGTCCTTTGTTTTGGGTTCCCAAAGTCCTTCGTTTTGGGTTCCCAATGTCCCTCATTTTGGGGTCCCAATGTCCCTCATTTGGGATTCCCAATGTCCCTCCTTT